CCCTGATCAGCCCTGCTCTGTGTGTGACAGGGGGTGGCGCCGCAACCTCCCCATCGACCCTGCCTTGAGTGTGACAGGGGGCGGTGCCCCAACCCCCCAATCGGCCCTACCCTGAGCGTGACTGAGGGTGGCATTGCAACCTCCCGATCCGCCCTGCTCTGTGCATGACAGGGGGCGGCGCCCCAACTCCCCAATCGGCCCTGCTCTGAGCCTGACCAGGGGCTGCACCTAGGGATTGGGCCTGCCCTCTGCCACCCGGGAGCAGGCCTAAGCCAGCAGGTCATTATCTCCCGAGGGGTCCCAGACTGCGAGAGGGCACAGGCCGGGCTGGGGGACCCCCCCTCCCCCATCCCCCGAGTGCACAAATTTTTGTGCACCGGGCCTCTATTATAAGGATAATATGCAAATCGACTAAACGGTGGAACGACTGGTCGCTATGACGTGCACTGACCACCAGGAGGCAGACGCTCAACGCAGTAGATGCCTCCTGGTGGTCAGTGTGCTCCCACAGGCGGAGCGCTGCTCAGCCAGAAGCCCTAAGCCAGGCTCACAGCTGGCAAGCGTAGCGGCAGTGGCAGGAGCCTCTCCCACCTCTGCAGCAGTGCTAAGGATGTCTGACTGCCAGCTTAGGCCCACTACCCACAGGTCAGTGGGACATCCCCCAAGGGCTCCTGGACTGCGAGAGGGTGCAGGCTGGGCTGAGGGACCCCCTCCAAGTGCACGAATTTCATGCACTGGGCCTCTAGTAAACCAATAATAGCCTTCATCACACTGTCTAAAAAATCTAGATAGTAAATAATAATAACTTAAAAATACTAATTATAAAATACTTTTCAGAAAATTGTGAACCTTCAAATCTACTCACATTTAAGAAATAATCACAGAACAGAATGTTTTCTCTACCTGTCTCCTGCTGATGTCTATGCTTCTCTCTAACTCCATTTTAGCAGCTGCCAATTCTTGGTGATGATTATGCCATAACAAATCAATTGCAGCTGCATGTTGATGGTTTAGTTCTGAACGTAAAGAAGCTGGAATCCAAGGATAAAAAGAGGTTTAGCATATTTTAAAAAATATTACGGATACATATATTTTAAAAAAAACAAAAAAAATGTGATTTCATGTTAAATTTTTAAGTAGAAGAATGTGCAAATTAATATGACAAGATTATAACCCATTCAGAATACCAAGCATCGCCTTTCCTTCATCTTCTAATTCAAACCGAAGAGTCTGGAGTTCCTGCTCCATTTCTACCCGGAAACCCTCCATTGACTCTCTGTGTGCATCTTTTAATGACTGAAGCTCTGCAGAATGTTTTTGTTGTAAATGATTTTCAAGAGCCTACAATAGTAGAAAGATATTCAAATTATTATGTTAGACTACAGGAAGAAAACTGCAAATAAAAATAAAATAATTACCAAACCCAATTATTACTTAAGAAAAACAGGGCATTTTTAATTCATTTACCAGAAAATTAAATAAAAGATAATCACCATTAAAACATAAATTACTAGAGCCACTATAAACAATAAACTAATCGTCATGAAACTAGTTTGACTCAATATATTGTGTTTGAATTGGAATATGGACTCTCGCCCTAAAGCAGCTTTCAATAAAGACATTTCTAAAGCTGCTAACAGGTGTGAGCCACCTGAAATCAATGAATAATTCTTTCAGACTTAGAAAAAACAAGATGAGGGTATTAACATGAAAAAAACTTCTGATCAGGAAAGAAGAGATGGGGGTGCTTATAAATATCAAATATTGTGTAGCTACCTTCTATAGTCCTTCTTTATGACTGCACTTGTGAACAGAAGTAAAGGCTCTGAGAAGAGGTTGCTGAAAAAGGAAACCAAAGCTTTTTGTGTGATTTGTTTCAAAAGCCTAACCAGAGAGAACAGACTGCATGTGGCTAAGACTAAGGAGGTATATGGCCACAGGGGAAAAGACAGAACTCAGGTACTTCAGGTTTAGAGAGTGAACGGTGCCAGGAGGGGTTTATCTGACTGTAACCTGTCACATAAAAGGTTTCTGGGAAAGATACTGTATTATAACTAGGGCAGCATTTCTTTAATCATTATTCTAAAATGCTGTTTTTACAAATTAGTATTTGGCTACTTTTGTACACTGTTTTAAAAAGTGTTTTTATTTCTGAAAAATAAAACATACGCTGAATAGGGTAAAATACGGGACTTTTAGTTTAGACAACATTACTTGGGTAGCTTGGCTACCTAATGATCAACGATAAAATTGCAGATTCTGATTTCTTTTAAAAATGATTAGTTTTGAAAGGACTGAATGTGTAAAATTAAAGTACTAATATGAGAGCTTTTGTGTTATTCCAATTCACAAATGGCATCCAACGAATAGATTACTTAGCAATGCAATAGGCCTCATTTTTAACCAAAGGAACTTCCTTGACCAGATCAAGAGACTTCATCTTACTGTATTAAGTGAACTGTTTTTAAAAGGATGGAACTTTCTTGTTTTAATTTCTTTATAACATACCTGTTCTTATATAATAGTGCCTGCTCCCACATAAAGAATTAAGAGACAACTTATATCTGTAATGATTATAGATATTGAAAATTATTATTAGTAAAACTGTATTTGTCTATCAATCTTTATCTTAATTACCATAAGGTCCTTAGGAGAAACTGGAAAATACAGTGTTAAGAAATAAACTATACCAAAATTAATCACAGTAAGACTATGTCAAACTACAATTTTAACAAAGAACTGAGTAATGGATATGGGGAGATTCTATATGCATACATCTATTTGATTTAAATATCTCCTGAGTGATTTGTTTATATCACTATTTTTCAGATAGCCTTTGGGCTGTACATAGGGGATTGCGCTATTTTAAAATGTCTGTAATTTCACTGTGAGTTTTGTACATTTTTTCATAAGTGTGAGGAAAAAAATCGGGGTTGAAAAATATATAAATTATTTGGAATACATGTCTTTTGAAGATCCAGCCTGAAAGAGAAACACTAAAAATTTGATGAAAAACTACTGTCATTTCAAGATAGTATTAAGTGATTATAGTGGTTACAGCTCAGTCAGACCATGCTAAACTTATTTAATCACTGTTAACTCTATAACAAACCAGATGGACTATTAGTCTCATCATGAACTCGGCCATGTAATGGAAAACAGATATAATATATAGGCCCTAGTCTAACTTGTCTGCGATAGTGTGTAACTACTGTGTATGTTTAAACACTGTGACCCCTACAGGAAGTCATATACTAGAAAACACCTTGAAATAAAGCCACACACAGTTTCCTCGAGTTAAAACCCTGGTAAGAATTTGAAGGCTAATTACAGTGGGGCATCGACTTACGAGTTTAATTCGTTCTGAGACTGAGCTCGTTAAGCGGTGTTAAGGGGCTCGTTAAGGAGCTCGTTAACTCAAATTACTCTATCAACTCAATGCAAAAAATCTGCTAGAGACAGCTGGTCTCTCAAAAAACTCGTTAGTTGGGACACTCCTAAGTCAAGGCCCCACTGTATTATTAGGCTGCTGGACTTCATTTGAATAGACGTCACATTAATCTTACTCTTTGTTCCTTTTCCTTTTCTTCTTCCATAGTTTGAAACGCAAGGACGTGTGCTTCCTTTAAAGACTTGTGTCTCTGTTGATGTTGTTCCTCTAATTCTTCAAGCTCTTGTGTAAGTCGTTGTCGTTCTTGTGTGAACTGGGCTTGCAGTTGCTGCAAAGAAGTCTGGGACTGGGAAAGCTGTAGCTCCAGGTTCTGTTTCAGCAGGGAGATCTGTGCCACAGGATGGGACACGGTGAAGAAGAAACACAAGGCACATTTCACAAACTCTAATCGAAGCGGGGAAGCATTTCAACGACATCCACTGCCTTAGTAAAACAACTGCCTTAAGAAACTACCTTAAAATGTTTAACATATATCATCGGTATCTAATCTTTAGGTAGTACCGCTTTCAATTCTATTTTTTAGTCGTTATCCTAAAAATAGAATTTAGTAATATTAAGTTTGTAGACTAAAGAACACTGCAGCTCACATTTAGAAATACAATGAACACCTATGTTGTATTGCAATAAATATTCACAATATGAAATTAAAACAAAAGACAACTACTGTATTTAGATTATAGTCACTTCAAAGAGATAGTATGAAAAGTTAAACTGCTTATTTGTGAGGTAGTAATGTTGAGTTGTTTGGACTGTGGGCTCTGAATTAAAATTCTAGCCTCACCACTTACTAGTATCAACACCTCTGTGTGAGAATGAAGTATGTTACTATGCATAGTTGACTTAGAACAGCTCCTGGAATGTAGTAAGTGCTCAATAAATGTTAGCTAAGATGATTTGAGGATTAAAAAGCTACTCTTTAAAAGATTTATCAGCTCATAATTTAGAATCCTTATTTAAAAAAAGATTGAGTTTTTATTTAACTCAAAAACCTTGCAAACCTTCAAGCTTTTTAAAAATCATAACCATCTCACAATCCTCTAGTTATATCCTTATAATAATGACAGGTGCCTTTATTTCACTATTGAAAACTGATTTGTTACTCCTTTTGAAAACAGATATCACCCTCAATGTCTGCATTGCTTCTGGGTGTCTTAAAATACTTAAAATTAAGTCCTTTTTAAAAGATAAAGACACGAAATATGTGTATAAATATATATGTATACTTCCCCTATACAGGAACTACATAGCCATATTCTAACAGAAGTCTGAATCTAAGGGGAGCTGAGGGGAAAGGGATAAAAGTTGTCAAATGTAGTAACTTACGACACAATGTGTGTTCATATGCAAGTAAAACAGCTCCTGTGGCCAGGAAAGCCAATGGGAAGAGGAAGCTTCACAGTGAGCTTTTGTAAAAGGGAAAAGACTCATTTGAGTGATGAAAGGCAGATATAGGCTGCCTCCCATCTCACAGAGGAAGGCACTGGCAAAGGAAGAGAAAGGGTGGAGAATCACTAGAGATGCAAAATAAGAAAGGAGGAACTGGAAGACAGAAAGGTCAGAGGCAAGCAGCAGGAAATGGTCAGAGGCTACAGTGACGTTGGGTGGATAACTAAACGTCTGGCAGGGTTTTCGACAAAGTTCTAAATTGGGCTTAGTTGTAAAGGTTAGCACATGCCTTTATGAAGACAGTCAAGCACTGGTGAGAAATGACATAGCTGACATGGATGTTCAATCCGTTTTAATGTAGTTCCAAAGGAGTGACTACCTATTGAAAGTTACATGAATTCTGCTTAATGATTCCTACACAAACCCAAGGTTTCAGAGGTTATTTCATGTGATTGGAATCTAGTGGAACTGCAGCGCTCTGACTCCACGCAATGCTCCTCTCCCCGTCCCCCACCTCACCCGCACCTTTAAGTGGCAGGAGCACCCATGATTTACAGACGGAAATAAACCCTGCAAGTGTGAAAATGGCAGGAGAATGTCACAGCACAGCTCAGGCCACACTTGGAATTAGGAACCCAAGACAAATTATACTCTGTGATTTCTCACCATTTTATGCAAAGAAGATCAGGATGAAATGAGCAGTAAGGACAACCCAGAAAGAAAAAAATAATAAATCACAAAATGGTAAAAGGCAACAAAAATGTGTGTTTGTGAACACGGATATGTAACTAGCAGTCATTTTCTTCTCAGCGAGCTGGTTCTTGAAACAGAGAAGGAACCAACCCACTGTCTTCCCCAAATCAACTCTAGTCCCAGGCCGAGCATGGGAACTCATGTGACTGCCATGTGACAACCTGTCAGAACACATGTAAGGAAAAGACTATGTTGCATGGGAAAAAAAGGATTGGTAATCAAAGCTATTACCTGGCTCTTGTCCAAGTGAGGACTAAAACCCACCCAGCGGAACAACTGCTCACCAAGCTGTCTGCCCTGGTATGCATGTGTCCACCCAAAGAGAATGGGCATGTATTTCTGATGTGCACATAGGCACCACCATATGGGCTAGCAGTGGCCCTGGATCCTGTCCTCCAATTAAGTGTGCACTTAGGTTAGTAAGAAACGAATCAGTTCCCAGCAGTGCCTCTTAATTCAGTAATATCTCCTTCAAAAGTTCACACATCAAAAAGAGCTCCCGCCCTGACCTGTTTGGCTCAGTGGATGGAGCGTCAGCCTGCGGACTGAAAGGTCCCAGGTTCGATTCCGGTCAAGGGCATGTACCTTGGTTGCAGGCAACATCCCCAGTGGGGGGTGTGCAGGAGGCAGCTGATCGATGTTTCTCTCTCATCGATGTTTCTAACTCTCTATCCCTCTCCCTTCCTCTCTGTAAAATAATCAATAAAATATATTTTAAAAAAAACAAAAACAAAAAAACAACAAAAAGAGCTCCCATGTTAATTTGACTACAATTTGACTCACAGTTGAACTATTTAAGGATGAAACTTATGAAGAAATATGACATTTAAAATGAATGAAATACAGTGATGTAATAGTTATACATTTAAAATCTAGCACTCTCTCAAACCTCACCAGCTTAAATAAAATACATTTAAATATTTAAATATACTTAAATATTTTACATCATAATATACTTTACCTTGAAAGGACTCCAAAGAAATATTTTTCATTTTAGAATATATGATTAATCTTTGTCTCTATACTCAAGAAAATATAAAGTATGTACAAAAAGACATTATCATGCAATTTAGTGTTCAAATATACTTAGTTTAGATATTTTATATTAACTTTGAAAGCACACCAAAGTAATATTCAGGCTATCTAAAATCTTCGGATTCATGCTCAAGACAGTAACATGAACTAGATGCAGAAAGCTTTTATCATGCAATGCAGCATCAAAATTTATTTTGTTATTCTTACAAATAAGTTAGTCGAATTGCATCAAATTGTCAGCCTTTATTCAGCATGAAAATGACATGAACTTTAAAAGACAAATAATGAGCAAAGCAATGTCAAATGAACTAATGTTTAACAGGTGAGTATACTTAATGGAAATATACATTAATATAAAACTTCACTAATTCAAAATAAATGAGAACAAAGATGGATTTTACATTCAATAGTTTGGGCAATCTTAATCAATAGGTTTGTGACAGAATTATAGAAAGGCATTTGTTGAATAAATGAATGAGAAACAGTAATTGCTTCAAATTACATATTTAAAGTCTGAAGTATGTGGTATTAGTCCTTATACATTTGTTATAATTTTAAAATTTAATACTTTTTATTTTGTTAATTTTAAATAAACCAAAAAGAATCCTTATTTCAGAAAAAATTTTAATCCTCATTTTAAAAATTCTTGCCACAGCAGTTTAGATATGAATTATATAACACTAGAGGCCCGGTGCACAAAAATTTGTGCACTTGGGGGTGGGGGGGTCCCTCAGCCCGGCCTATGCCCTCTTGCAGTCTGGGACCCCTCGGAGGATGTCCACCTGCTGGCTTAGGCCCGCTCCCTGGGGGGATCGGGCCCAAGCTGGCAGTCAGATATCCCTCTGGCAGCCTGGCAGCCCTCGGTGGATGTCTACTTACCAGCAGGGAGCAGACCTAAGCTGCAGTCGGACATCCTTAGTGCTGCTGAGGAGGTGGGAGAGGCTCCCATCACCACTGCTGTGCTGGCAGCCATAGCCTGGCTTGTGGCTAAGCAGAGCTCCCCCTGTGGGAGCACACTGACCACCAGGGGACAGCTCCTGCATTGAGCATCTGACCCCTGATGGTCAGTGTGTGTCATAGTGACCAGTCATCCCCAGCCCGTTCTGCTGTTAGGGTCAATTTGCATATTACCCTTTTATTATATAGGATACTGACTGATCAACAGGTACCAGATACTTTGCAAACAATTTTAAAGGCCAAACTGCACTGATAGTAAGCTCTACCTTTTGATTTCTACCACTTAACATACTGTTGTTTTCTGAAAATAAGATATTGTAAAAATTTCAAAAGGAAAAATTAAAATAAAAAAACATGGACATATTTTTTGAAGAAAGGAAAGCTTGACCTATTTCCTACAGATCAGTTTCATAAGGATTCTGTGCCTCAACAATGGTGCTCAAGAGCTCCTTGAAAACAGCAACTGAAACATCAAACCTGAGGTACTGGATATGCCAGGATGTCAATATGGGGCCTGGCATTAATTACCTATAACATTTGGTTGTTGATGCATTGTTGGTGGTTTTTGTCCCTCCAAAAATATCGTCTTGTTACATAAATGAAAGAATACAAAAAATATACAAATAATCTGTCCTCAAAACAAAGCAGTTTGTGAGGTAATAAATGTAATCTGTGGTTCTCAAACCTGTCTGTGTATCAGAATCATCTCTGTAGATTTGAATAAGTATATTTGCCCAGGCCCTGACCCCTTGATATTCTGATTTACAGGGTCTAGAATTGGGCCCAGGCCACCTGACATATTTTTATTCTATATTACCAATGTAGTAAGTGTTGATTGTGAAAAAATTTTAAAAATATAGGAGTTATAAAATAAAAGGGAAAGTCTCTTTCATTTCCTTTCCTTGCCAAATCCCAACCCCTAAGGGCAACCAGATACAATGACTTCTCTCTCTCTTGCTAGAATTGCCTGTTTTGTTTTCTTTCACTGATTTTACTGCATCATGTGCAAGTGACTGGACGATTTTCACCAAATGTAGAGAAGACATCTGTCATGATCTGACAAAACAGTGGCTACGTCTTACACACAAAAGTTACCTTGGGGTCCCAGGGCACAACTCAGGAGAACAGTGAGTGCTTAACATCCAAAGTAGCTGAGACAGACCCACAGGCTGCAGAATGGGGCAGACACGCCCACGTGCATTGCACAGAGGGATAAAGACGACGTCAAATGTAAAACCATGAGGTGTCCTGACCTGCAGGTGTTGTTATGTGATGGAGTGGCTTTTCACACACCCAACGCTATGTAACTTTCTCCAAGATGAATACATGCATGGATTTATCTAACAATGGTTAATGATTTTTCCATTAGGGAGGCCGGTGAGTTTGTGGTTTTACAGGTTGGTTTTTCCCGTCACAGTGGTATTTATAAAGTACACATATCCACAATCCCCATCCTTTTCAATGACTACACAGAATTTCTAGTGTAGACACTGTTCCTTGCCTGCCCAAGAGCCAATCTCCCCCTTTCCTTTCTTCCCGGTTAGCTGACTTGAGTTTTAGGGATTGAATAGAAATCCCTATCTTAAAGAAGGTAAGAAAGTCACAGAAATCTAATTACAAGGACATGCCAACCTGCTTTAGTTAATAAGGTAAAGGAAGTATGGGGGACCTGGGGGAAAGACGTCCTGATCAAAGTTTAAAAAGCACCTAAGGAGAGCCTCTTGCATTAGCACGGTTGGTCAGGACATGATGGCAGGAGTTGGAGCAGCCATGTTGCCCCTATGACACGGCAAACTTAAGGTCAAAAAGCTAACACAGTGTGCATGGCAAAGCGGAAGTACAGAAAATACCTGAGTTCTGAACTAAGTATCTTGACAGCCACTGTCAACTGGGTGCTCTGCTGTTTGTAGTCAAATGCATCCTAACAGACATAATTCCAGAATATAATACACACAAATTACTTTAATCCTTCTTGATGGAAATTTGGATCATCTCACCTAGTTTTGCTGTTACAAATCTCTCTCTCTCTCTCTCTCTCTCTCTCTCTCTCTCTCTCACACACACACACACACACACACACACACACACACACACACACGTACGTCCCCCCAAATAAAAAACCAAACAGTTCAATTCCTGATCAGGGCACATGCTCAGGAGTGTGTGTGTGTGTGGGAGGCAACCTATTGATGTTTCTCTCTCTCTCTCTCTCTCTCTCTCTCCCCCATCTCCCTCCCTCTCTCTCTAAAATTAATTTTAAAAGTCTATTGATACTAATTTTTCAAAAAATAAACTAGTTAACAAAAGAAGAAATACATTTATATTTATTTCCAATTCTATGATAGTCAACTAGTTAATAGTTTTTCAAAAACATTACTGTATCTTACAAAGTAAATATTAAAATAATGAATTTTATGTGTGAGATATGAAATCTTGCTTGGCTTTATAACAAAATATAAGCTTACTAATACAATGCAGTAGATGTATGCACATACACAGAGAATGGCTTAAAGTTAGAAGCTTTTATTACCCATATACAAAAAACATATCTTATTGAAAAAAAAAGTGCATTTTTGTATAAGTTTAAGCTCTAAAGCAGTGATGATGTTAATGCAAAATCAAAAGTGCAACATGCCCTTGTGTACAAACTGTAAGTGCCGCTCACTTACATTGTTGATAGATTTATGCAAAGCTTCACCCAGAGAGTGCCGCTATGAAGAAAAGATCACAGGAATAAAGGGAAACATTCAGAAACCAACTCAGTGAAAGAAAGAGGGGGTAAGAGGGAGAGTAAAGCACAAAACATTATAACGTACTCAAGAAAAAGTAAGTTGAAAACAGTTCTGAGAAAGAAATTAGACAAAAAGGAATTTAAGACTTACAGTATAAATTATCTGTTGTCTTTTAAAACAGTGTCTGATGTTTGTGGGCTGGCAGACTTACCTATGCAAAATATCAAAGGCTGGTACATTTAACCAGAGTTCACTTTTAAAGTTGATGGTTATTGAAGGAACTACAAGGCATATTACTGTCCCAAATGCCTCCCAGAAATCTACAATCTATTGCTTCAAAGTATTACACTCAGTATTGATGTTGATTCATGAAGGATTTCTCTAAAGAGAAACGAGCAGATGAGAAGTGATACACTAACTCCATTGACTACATAATTCTGGGGCCAGAAAACAAATAAGAGATTATCATTGAAAATGTGAAGATGAATAGTAAGCTGGTTTTGTACTGGGGGAAAGAAAAAAGAGATTCCCTCATATCTTTTCAATCCTATTATCTATTACATATCTGGGAAATTTATTTACCATCTGGGTTCGTTTTACAGAAGTTCACTGAAATTCTGAGTGAAAAACCACTGGAAAAAACGCTATGCACTCTCTCTACCCCCAAATATGGAAAAAAATGTGAATTCTGTTTCAACTGCTTTACTTTTTTGCCCTTCAAAATACAAAATAACATTAAAAATTTTTATTACTAATATAAATAGAAAAGTTCCTGTAAAATGGTATTTTCTTTGGACAATAATCAAATTTTCAGACAGAACACGATTATCTTTTTTCCCATAATGTGATTTATTCCTTGGCGTGTCACAAAGTAAAGCCAGATTTTATTTGGTAAATAATTTTTTACTAATAACTTAACTAACATATTCTAGGATAGAGTTTACTGGAGTTGACAAAAATAACTTGAGAAAAAGATTAACTTTCTATTTGATTACTCCATAACTTCTCAATCTAAACTTTCTCACACTTTTATACATACTAACTATATTAATTTTATTTTTACTTTTTTCTTATTCTCATACTATTAATATTCTTCACATACTAATGAGACCCTTAACTTTCCAGACTTCATAAAACTTAAGAAAATCTGAAAGATTTTTAGTTATAGTTTTATACCTCTTTGTAGTTCTCAGAACTGATGTCCCAGGACTAGGAGTTAATCTAAAATGTATAGCACTTGCTTATGAAGTATATTTTATTTTTCACTCTTTTAGGTATCATGATACAAAATTACACATGTTATTGAAGATTCCTGAATGAATTGGAAAATTAACCAGTGTGACAAATCAGAGTGGCATGCCAGTTCTTCCCTTAGGGATTTTAGACTTTATACAACAGAAGTATACTTGAATCTAAATTCAAATGGTCAACTACCTCTGTCAGCATACAGGTGCAGGCCTTGGAACTATCTAAACCAGTGATGGCGAACTTTTTGAGCTCGGCGTGTCAGCATTTTGAAAAACCCTAACTTAACTCTGGTGCCCTGTCACATATAGAAATTTTTTGATATTTGCAACCATAGTAAAACAAAGATTTATATTTTTGATATTTATTTTATATATTTAAATGCCATTTAACAAAGAAAAATCAACCAAAAAAATGAGTTCGCGTGTCACCTCTGACACGCGTGTCATAGGTTCGCCATCACTTATCTAAACCAAAAGGCATGGTCCCTAAGCTATGACCTGGGGTGACTTACATCACAGACCTAGCAATGGCAACCAGGAAAGGCACAACTAGTGCTGTTGGGTGGCAATACCGTTAATAGTTAACACATAAATGAAGTAAGATTTATAATTCATTTTAAAAATATTTACTAGAGCAGTATTATATTCCAGGAAATATCATAAGCAGAGTGAGGAAACAATTGAAAAACAGTAAAACAAATACACAATAGGAAATGACTGGAGGTGATACTGGGTTGATGGCAAAGACAGATGTTTTTAAAGAAGTGACAATAAACTTGGAATTAATGAAGGAGCCAGACACAAAATGAGATGATCTTGGGAGAAGAGCGTATGGGCAAATGGATCAGCTCCAACATCCTGAGGTGGAAGTAAGCTCGGAGTAACTGAGCATGTGCGTATGTGCGAGCCACGGTGCTGTTTGTGAGGCTGAAATGAGATGGGAGGCATCTGCAGGGGCAAGTTGGCTTCAGGTCTTGTTGGAAAATGAAGGAGTCGGAATAAGAGCCTTAATTCAATGGCGTGCCCTGAGAGAATTCTAAGCAGGAGAATGGCACGATCTGATTTACATTATAAAAGATCACTTTGGCCCAGCCAGCATGGCTCAGTGGTTGAGCTTCTACCTATGAACCAGGAGGTCATGGTTAGATTCCCCATCAGGGCACATGCCTGGGTTACAGGCTCAATCCCCAGTGTGGGGCGTGTAGGAGGCAGCCGATCAATGATTCTCTGTCATCATTGATGTTTCTACCTCTCTTTTCCCCTCTCCCTTTCTCTCTGAAATCAATAAAAATATATTTAAAAAAAATTATTTTTAAAGATCACTGAGTTCTGTGAGAAAAGTGAAATCGGGGAGGTCAGGTAGGAGGCCATTATAACAGTGACTTGGACTAGTGTTTGCTGAGGGAATTGGAAGTGGAGGGAGCTGGATATGTTTTGGATGTAGAATAAAGAGGACTGACAGATTATGGAAGAGGTAAAAAAATTAGAAATTAAGGATGACTCTTCATTTTTTTGTTTTGAGCAACAAGCTGTGCCAAGAAATGAAGATGCTGGGATGATAGATGGAGAGTGAAAATCAATACTTCTGAGTCAGACATGCGAAGTCTGAGATGCCTATTAGCCAACCAAGTGATTCTGAGTTCAGGATAAGAGGTCAAGGCTGGAGGTTTAACTTTATAAGCCACTGACATATAGATGGTATTTAAACCGCAAGACTGGATGATGTCACCCTAAGTGTCTGTTTAAAAGAATACTGGATGAACTAAAAAATCTATATGCAAAAATATTATTTGGCAAGCATTCTACATGAATAGACCCATGTTCATAAAAAACTGATGCCCTATATAATAGTCAATTTGTTTTAAAGCATCTTAAGCTTCTTGTTAATTTTTCACTCAGTCCCCCAACTCCCCCCACCCTGCATCTGTCAACCATCAGTCTGTTCTCTGTATCTACGAGTCTGCTCTATGTCATTTGTTCATTTATTTTGTTCTTTAGATTTCACATAGAAGTGAATCATATGGTATTTGTTATTCTCTGTCTAATTTCACTTAGCATAATACCCTCTAGATTCAACCATGCTGTAGCAAATACAGTAGTAAGATTTTATTCTTTTTTATGGCTGAGTAATATTCCATTGTATATAATATGTACTACAACTCTTTTTACCCGCTTGTCTATTGATGGACACTTTAATAACTATGTATGGTGCCAGGAGCATACTTGAAATATTGGGGGGATCACTTTGTAAAGTGCACGACTGTATAACCACTCTGTTGTACACCTGAAACTAAAACAAAATAATATCAAATGCCAACTATAATTGAAAAATAACATTTAAAAGAAAAGAAAAATAACAAAATACAGTGAACTAACACACAATGTTGTATAATATTTCCCTAGCTAGAGAATGACAAGGAAAATAGAACTTTATAATATACAGACTCTCAATTACCTGGTTTAAGAGATCTTCTACTTTCTTCTGCCACGAATCTCTGGCTGCATTTTTCTCACGCTCTTTTAACTGAAAAAGTTGAGACATTGCTGACTTCTTATCCTCTTCATGTTGAAGTCTTAGCTCTTCACGAAGTTTAGAACACTCTTGTCTAGAATAAAACAAATGCATTTCCTTTATAAAGAGACTTATTTATCTCAATAACTGTAGTGTAGTTGTTCACATGTTTCCTAAGTAATTAATCCTCCTCAAAAGTCAACTCAGAATAGGAGTTGATTATTGTATAGTTAGGGACTAGAAGGTAAATTGGTGACTTACCCAAGATCATGGGTTTATCAGTTTATCAGTGGCAGAATAGGTACTAGAACAAATAAAGTCTTCTGACTTCAGGTTAGTACTCTTTCTGTTTTATATTCAAGGAAATGAAATCAGAAAACAGCAATCTGTATTCAAGCAGGAAAAAAAATTCCAATTTCTCTGCATCTAATCATGGGAAAAACTCATTGAAAATGCCGCTACTACGTCTTTAACAGGAAGACAGTATAAGCCACAGAGAAAAACATTTTCTGCACATCTGCATTGATGAGCTTACATTAAGGAGTAAAAACTGTACCTAAGATTTTCAGTCCATTTGATTTCTAGGTCCTGGGCCATTTTGTCCACCCTGAGCGTCTCCTCTCCCTTCAGGGCAGCCAGTGTTTCTTCATGCTGTTGCCTTTCTCGGTCTCGCTCACTCTGAGGAACAAAAACTCTTCAGTAAAGACTAGTCTTCAAAAGCCAAGTCACTGCTGGTTATTTCAAATCAGCAGAGTGCATGCATCGTAACAAATTCTTACAGCACAATAACTGGCAGTGTGATCTATGATAATTACTTGAGATTTTCTGACAATAAAATATATGGTACACATTCTATCATTTAAATGTCCTTGTGCAAAGTAGCTTTTATTAAGGTCTATAAATTTAAAAGTTACTTTAAGTAGTTTCAAGACAGCATAATTAATAATCCTAACTAAACCTTCCATATCATGGGTATGTGACTATTAGTCGATTATCTTTACATGTGTGCACATTACATACACAGATAAGTTATTCAAATTCACTCATATTCACATTCAAAAGTATGCTATTTATTCAAAGCTTAAGCATTATTGCTGTACCCCCACTGATATGATTAAAATAATTATGAGAAATTTAGGCTACTGAGTATTTTTACTATATAACCTCAAACCAGTGGCCCGTGTGTTTGGTGTTATGGTAATATGATACGATATATATGAAATCCCTCTAGATTAGCATAAACCAAGTGGCTCTCTGGAGCCTGGGGCTGGAGGTGACCTTTTGGACAACACTGGCAACCATCATCCCTGCCAGCACTGCAGCTATTCCTAGGGTACAAGAGAAGAACAGATGATGGCCCCTCCTTCATTATCACAACAACTCGCTCAGGATCACCCACCTGCTGACTGCAGTTGTTAAGGGGTAAATGGGAAAGAAGCAAGTCAATTGGAAACTGCCATTCCACACTGTTAACCTGGCTATTAAGCAGTGAGTACTAAATTCAACGCAGCACTTTATTAGACAGTGCAAGAGTGGGGGGAAAGGTTAAAGATAACACACCCTTGCTCTTAAGGAAATTTCCCAAGTTGTGGTAAACTATAATGCAGCACCTATATTTTCTCAATTAAAACTGTCCAGCAGATCAGCAACTGAACAGTTGATAGAGTTTTGCTTAAAATATGTATCATGTTCTACTATGTGACAGAAGAACAATGTAAATATGAGCAAGAACCTGAAGTAAATGAAAGGGAATCCCTACGTCTAATTCTCAGTGCCAAGATGGGGTGGAGGGGGAAGGCCACCAGGATTAAATGCCCCGAAGGCAGGAAACAGGCTGCGGCAAAGCTAGGGACACAGATCCTCCATGTTTCCATATCAAAACAATTTATATTCTACCAACATTCATTAGAAATATCTCCGCAGTTTATTTTTAAGTATATTTTTACCACCTCATTTTTTATTGAAGTATCACTGACATACCATATTATATTAGTTTCAGGTATACAACATAGTGACTCAACAATTATATACCTTATAAAATGATCATCATGATGCTTAGCAAGATCTGTCACTGTATTTATACTATCATCTTCCTGTTACTTTTGACAACGAAAAAAACCACATCTTAATACAGTTTAGTCAGCTTTATGCCACAGAATGCTAATGTTGAGATTATAGTCAATATGTTTGGCATCACATAAATATATTAAGTTGCGTATTACACTAGCTCTAAATTCTAACTATTCCTTGTTACATATTAATGCTCATATCACATAGCCACTAGAGACAGGTAAACAGAAGGAAAAAAAGATTTAAAGAGAATCAATTTATTTTGTCACAGAATTTAAAAATAAAATGTAATTAGTATTCAAAGTTTTTTGTTTTGTTTTTTAATATATTTTTTATTGATTTCAGAGAGGAAGAGAGGAGAGAAAAATAGAAACATCAATGATGAGAGAGAATCCTTGATTGGCTGCCTCCTGCACACCCCACACTGGGGATTGAGCCCACAACCTGGGCATGTGTCCCGAGCGGGGATTGAACCGTGACCTCCTAGTTCATAGGTTGACGCTCAACCACTGGAGCCATGCCAGCCGGGCAGTATTCAAAGTTTTGTATTTATAAAAATATAACTACACCTTAGATATAAGTAGAATTATATATATATATCCATAAACAAGCTATAGCCACTAAAGTTTCTTGTTTATATGCTTTTGAACTGTCATCAATTCTAAGTCAAAAAAAATTGAAATGTTAAATAAAAGGCAATATTTACTGTGTGCTATTTTGCTAAGCACTGTTTTGTAAATGTTTTATCTCATTTAATTACTACCAGAGTGGTGTGAAGTATATTATTTCCCCCCACCAACTGATCTGATGAGGAAATCGAGGGTTAGAATAAATAACAAGCCAAAAGTTACATACTAAGTGGTGGATCCCTCTTTGGGCAGGGGGTGCAGGGGTGGTGAGAGATCAACCAAAGGACTTGTATGCATGCATATACTAAGCATAACCAATGGACACAGACAACAGGGGGGTGAAGGCCTGTGCTGGGGGCAGGGGCAGGCTGGGAAAGGTCAATGGGGGGAAAAGGGAGCATATGTAATACTGTCAACCAATCTGACTTCAGAGCCCATCTGAGTTCTTCACCTCTCTGAAAGAAAAAGAACTCCCTGACTACTATTCCCCTGGTTTTATGGATTCTTTTCTTTCCTGTCTAAGGCAGTCTAAATATTCGCTCTGCACCATGAGAATGGAAGGGGAAAGACAGCCCTTTCTGAAATGCGTAGTCACAGAGAATCACTCAGTTGCTATACGTGAGAGTTTTAACTCTTACCAGTAAAATTGCATACAAATTGCTATGGGCTGAACTGTGTCCCCAAAATACATGTGGAAGTCCTAACCCCCCAGTATCTCGGAGTGTGACCTTACTTGGGAATAGGGTCAGTACAAATGTAAAGAGTTAAGATGAAGTCACACTGGAGTAGGGTGCGCCCTTAATTCAGTAAGACTGGTGTCCTTACAAGACGTGAGGACACAGGGAGAATGCCATGTGAAGACAGAGGAAGAGACTGAAGTTGTGCTGTCATTAATACAAGGAATGCCTTGGGCTACATGAGCTGGAAAAGGCAAGGAAGGACCCGCCAGTAGAGATTTAAGAGGGAGAATGGCCCTGAAAATATCTTTTTTTTTAATGGACTTTTAAAAAAGAACAGTTTTATTGATTTTTAGAGAGAGAGGATGGGAGAGGGAAAAAGAGAGAGAAATAGCGACGTGAGAGCACCTAGATAGGCTGCCTCCTGCACGCCCCCTGCCACCAAGGATCGAGCCTACAACCCGGCATATGCCCTGGACGGGAAATCAAACCAGCAACCTCCCAGTGCCCAACCAACTGAGCCATATCGGCTAGGGCAACAACATCTTGATTTATACTGTCATCTTCTAGAACTATGAGGACAAATACCTGTTGTATTAAGCCACCCAATTTGAAGTCCTTTGTTACGGTAGCCCTAGTAAAGTAAAACACTAAATTATATGTAATGGGATTTTCATAACTTTGAAGCCAAGTGACTAAATGGTATTTTTTACCTTGCTGATGTTCAGATTATACCAGGATTAGGACTTACCTCAACTTTTAATAGAGCATCCTTGGCCTCCTTCAGCCTGCTTTTAGTCAAGTCAAGCTCATTCTGAAGTCTTCCTTGGGAGTCCTGGAGGCTAGCAATGAGTCCTTCCGCCGAGCCCAGCCCTTGTTCACTTTTCCTTACCAGGTCTTGGAGGCGGCCAACCTGCAAGTAAATAGAGTACTTTTAACATACCTCATTGTATTCCACTGGCAAAACAGTCCCATTTATATTCTTAAAGTCTTGCCCCAGCTGGTTTGGCTCAGTGGATAGAGCGTCAGCCTGGGGACTGAAGGGTCCCGGGTTCGATTCTGGTCAAGGGCCCATGCCCGGGGTTGAGGGCTCAATCCTCAGTAGGGGGCATGCAGGAGGCAGCCAATTGATGATTCTCTCTCATCATTGATGTTTCTATCTCCTTCTCCCTTCCTCTCTGAAATCAATAATATTTTTTTTTTACAAAGACGGCCTTATTCATGGTTGCCCCCTTTCATGACAATCATGTAAATAAATGGATATAACTCAAGCTCCTGGTTTAAAAAAGAGAAATACAGGTTCTACCATATAATCAAATGCTTATACAAAGGATTTGAAGCAAGATTAAGATTTTATGAAAGATTGAGAAAAAAGGTATTTTTTGATAAAAAATATTTTTAAACTGCTTTTAAAAATCAAATCACATAGTTCATTTGAGACCAGTTCTCATGCTATTTTTTTTTTGATTTTTTTACAGAGAGGAAGGGAGAGGGATAGAGAGTTAGAAACATCAATGAGAGAGAAACATTGATCAGCTGCCTCCTGCACACCTCCCACTGGGGATGTGCCCGCAACCAAGGTACATGCCCTTGACCGGAATCGAATCTTCAACCTTTCAATCCGCAGACTGACGCTCCATCCACTGAGCCAAACCGGTCAGGGCTCTCATGATAAGTTTAGGTCAATATTGATAAGCTGCAAATATATCATAAATTCAAATAAGTTATAATTTCTATGATTTCATACAAAATTTGTCTCATGAAATTGTTAAAAGTTGACTTTTAGGAGTTAATAGACAATTTGTTAAATAAGCAAAGCAGATCGATACCCTCAAATTATAAGAACTAAAACCAATAAATGAAATATTTTAAATTATCTAGGAAAATACTATGAAGCAAAGATTTCATTTTTATATCATTACCAAGCCTATCAAGACTATGAAAATGAAAACTGTGCTCTGACCAGTGTGGCTCAGTTGATTGAGCATCGTCCCATACACTGAGAGGTTGCAGGTTCAATTCCCTATCAGGGCACATGCCCGGGTTGTGGGCTCGAATCCCCAGTAGGGGGTGTGCAGGAGGCAGCCGATAGATGAGCCGATCGATTATGTTTCTCTCTCATCAATGTTTCTATCTCTCTATCCCTCTCCTTTGCTCTCTCTCTCTCTAAAAATCAATAAAGAAGCATTTAAAAAAATCAAGTAAGTTCAACATTAGAGATAATCCTAAATTTATAAAAATAACTAAGACTCTAGAGACTGAACAAATGTTTGTTTAAATAGGCAAAAACTTTAAAATTCTGCGCAAATAGGAATTACAAACATGGACGTGAGTACAAGCCCCACCCCCAAGCAAGCACCATGTATTTTACTGAGCATCTTCTAAACACTTCCCGTTTCCCTTAGGATAACATCCAAAATCTTTCCCGGTTCTCCCAAGGCCTCCGTGGCATAGCCCCTCTCTCTAGCCTTAGCTTGGCAACTCTCCACCTCCTTGGTCTTTACACTCATTGGGAAAAAGAGTGGCACATGGGTAGGAATTGGGTTCTGAAATCATACTGCCTGAACTGGAATTCTGGCCTTATCCACTTACTATGTGACTTTGGAAAGTGACAACTTTTTGTGACTTAGGAGAGACTGTATAAAATAATGCCTGAGGCATATTAAGAACTAAATAAAAATTATTATCACTGCAGCTGCCATCATGCTCCATCTATATCGGCATCCTTCCAGTTCCTAGAAACTTCTCATGCCTCAGGGCCTTTGCATAAGCTCTCCTCAGTTTATTCTCTGGCAAACCCCTATTAACCACTTATCACCATTTTGTAATATACATCAGACTTGTTATTACTTGTTTCCATATCTGTCTTTTCGTATAATAGGGACCATACCTGGCTTATTCAACTCTGTAACCACAGTGTATAATTCAGTGCTTTGGTCCCTAATACCATTCAATATTTATTAAATAAATGAATGAATCAGTAACAGAAAAAGTCCATATATTCTTACTAGCAATTAAGAAGAAATAAAATCTCTTTTCATCTCAATCTGTAAATATTAAACTCCTAAAAGAACCTTCAATGCCTTCACCCTCCCGACCTATGGTATAAGCAGAAAACAGCAATCCCCCTCACCTCTGATAGCAGCCCCAGAGCATGGAAAGGAGAGCAAGGATGCCTCTGTGTGGGTTAGGAAGCGATTTCTACTCCTCCAGAGGCAGACAGAGTTCTGTGGAAATTTTTAAGTTGTTTCTAAATTTCTTCCACTGTAAACACTGCTGAAATTTTTTCAGTAATCCTCAATTATTCACTATGGTTAAATACCAGAACTGAAACTGGTGAATCAAAGGACATGCCCACCTTAAGGCTTTTAAACATGCTGCTAAATTCCTTTCCAAGAAAATGGCATGACTTTATAATCTCATCTATAAGCAGCTTTCAAGTGCTTATTTCTCCACCCTTATCAACACCACTGCATGGCCTCACTTAATTTTTTAATCATTGTCAATTTCATGGTAATGAAAATAGCATCTCACTGATTTCATTTCCAGTTTTTAAATGGTAGTGATGTTTAAATTTTTTGATGTTTTTTAGCTCATTAAAAAATGGGGGTGCCTGTTTTTCTCCTACAGTTTTATACACTTTTAAGGTATTAAAGACATAAATTTTTGCTTCTCATACAATGTATGAGAAATCTATTATTATATAAAAAAAGATTATA